TTGACCTGAGATATGGATTTGGGTTGATTTTCTATAGCTTACAAGAATCCTTCTTAAGTTTATAAAAACATAAGCTTTAGACATGTTAACATCACCATTGTAATCTGTAGTGAAGTACACATTGTAGAAAATGGCAGTAGAAATAAACCTTAGCAGAGGCTAGGGGAAAATTTTGGTTAAAAGCATGACATTCTTTGAGGTGAGGTTAAGAAAGCAGAAGTCTCATGGATCTTTCTAACATCTGTGAAATAGTAACATGTGTATCCCCAGGCAGGACAAAAACCTCCTGTGGAGCAGAAAAGCAAAAGCTCACTTGATCTTGATTTTTTAGAATGAGTACAAATCATGAAAGAGGTACTTCTTCCCTCTATCCAGAAGACTGGAAGTATCAATTTAGCACAATGAGAAACAACTTATAAGTCTATATTTAAAAGACAAAGAAAAGGAAATTTAAAATCTTGAGCTTAGAACCATGATAGTGGATCATATAGTGAAATTTTTTTATCAGAGTTAGATTAATAAATCAGAGCTCAGTCATAAATGTCAAAACTTGAGATTGTACAACAGTAGCATAGCAACAGGAAGAAATATGAAGCATTTTTATCTATTTAGGGTTATTTAAAGAACCTTAGACTTTCCAATCTTCATAACATGCTTTTACCAACTTTAAAAGAAATCCTTCTTAAACCCTAAAACACTTTCTTAGAAGCTTTTCTTTATAGCCTTTATTTATTAACCTTGAAACATCTTCTTAAGCTCACAAACATTTATAACTTGAATTTACCAACTTTAAAGCACTTTATTAGACCCTCAAACTTTTTCTTAGATCATCATAACTTAAACTTCTATATCCCTAGGCCTTGTAAAATTTACCATGAGATGTAGGTAAGACTGCTATGAGCATTCATTGTCCTTTAGCCAATTAGTGGTAAAAGGTTACATCTGAGACCTGATTTTTGAGTCTGCTAGCAAAGTAGACTCTGTCTAGACCTGACAGCATCATCTCTAGCAGTGAGGCATAAGGCCTGGTCTTAGCAATTAACATATTCAGAGACCTGAGAAACATAAATTTTTACCTAAATGAATCTACATATTTATCAAAATGACAGATATGACTTGTCAATCTATAGTCTACTACCTAGACAGTTGTCTAAGTCTCCATGGCAATGTAGGGAAATAGTCTGGTCATCAGGTGCAGAAGATAAGTCTTTTTGTATGTGTGGAAGAAGAACATGTAAGAGATTGACTTCACCTTGATTTCTGCAATGTGAGACAATAAGTCTGCAGGTATCCAGTTGGCACACAGTTTAGGCTGGGTCTTAGTAGCAAGTCAGGTGGGGAAGTCTTTTCCAGTGGTTAGCCTGCCACAATCCTAAGTTAAAGTCATCTGTTTTTGTGTCCATATCCTTTCAGAGACCTTGGAGAACTACTGCCAGCATTTGGAACTCTCTGTATGACACAATAAGCTTAAACATGATAAATTCCATATTCAGCAGATATCTGACAGGTTTGAAGGCTAGCATATTTGAGTTAAGCAATCTCTATCTGTATTTAATTATCTTCGCTAAACTACACCTTGTATACATAAAATAGAATGCTATGATCTACATTTATGCCATGTTTTGCAGATAAGTGTTTGAGGACACATCTATCTCAAGTAGATCTGCATTAAAACTTGGATTTTATGTTTCATTTGTTATTTTGGAGACTTAAAATCATAAGCACATCCTATAAAGAGAGTATAACAGTTTCCTGTATGACTCTGTTTATAAAAAGTCTACAGCTTATAAAAATTTAGAGATATATTATAGGTTAGGAACATTGATTACCATATTGTGAAAACAAAGCTGAACATTTTTTTTTCATTTTTATAAAGTAATTAAATTTACATCTCAGCCATAGACCCCTCCATCATTTTCTCCGAGATTCTCCCGCATCCTCCTTCCCCTATTTCTCAGAATAGTGAAGCTCCTATACCATAACACCCTAGCTCATCTATTCACATGAAGACTTGAGTTTGTTTTCCTTCCATGTGGCCTGGTAGGACAGTCTTATCAGAGAGAAATGATCAAAAGGCAAGACCATGTCAGAGATATTCCCCTTTCCCCTAACTGGTGAGCCCATATGAAGCCTAAGATGCCCATTAGCTACTAGTAACTAGAGGACCTAAGTTCAGAGCATACAGTGTCAGACACCACTGACCCCACTGGGCACTGGTTGGTTTGCTCTGATGGTTTTCTTGTGGAGCTTTTGTCACCTCTAGGTCCACTTATCTTTCCTGCTCCTTTCCAGTAGACTCCCTATGATTCTCCTAAGGTTTGGCTGTGACTCTCAGTTTCTGTTTTGAACTGTTGCTGGGTAGAGCCTCTAAGAAGACAACCCTGAACAGGGCCTATCTCTGACATGAACTCATTTGCCTGCTCTTTGATCACCTCCTTCTCAGGGGTATCAGCCTTATCAGGCCACAGAGGAAGACAATGCAACCACTCCTGATGAGACATGATAGACTAGAACCAGATGGAAGGGGAAGAGGACATTCCCTATCAGTGGACTAGGGGAGGGACATGGGTGGATAAGAGGGAGGGAAAGTGAGACTGGGAGGGGAAGAGAGTGGGAGCTACAGGTGGGATACAAAGTGAATAAACTATAATTAATAAAAATAAAAATATAACTAAAAAAAAAAACAAAAGAAAACAACTCTGGTAGGATCCTGTTTGCAAGCATATCAGAGTATCCTTAATAATGATAGGGGCTGGCTTTCTTCCATGGGGTGGTTCTTAGGGTTTGGCCCTGCATTGGTTGGACATTCCCTCAATCTTTGCTCTAGCTGTACTACTTTTTGCTGCCACAGGTCTTGTAGGTAGGTAAGTTTTGCATTGAGGTTTTTATGGCTGGGTTGGTGACCTCTTTCATCTACTTGGAGACTTGCCTAGATAAAGGGTGTCCTCTTCAGTCTCCATGGCCCCTGCTACTAGAAGTATTAGTTAGAACCTTCCTTATGTCTTCACAGGGGCCTATTATGATTTAGATCTGCAGTTTGTCATAGAGGTATTCCCATTTCTTTTTTCTCTGCAGGCCTTCTGTCCTCCAGCTCCTACTCTATCCAGGAGTGATATCCAATCTTATTCCTCTCTACTCTCCTTCTTATATCTTGTTCCAACACTTCAATCATGAAGGCAGTGATTTTTTAAGCAATTTAGAGAATGAAGATTTAGGATAATGACCAGGTTTTAGCATGGTAAACAAATGAGTGTCTTTAAAATTAATATATCCCAATTTAGAGTATCTTCGGAATCAGACCACATTGTTTCAAGGTCTAGGCAAAAACTTTTATGTAGCACCGAATTACGAGTTTTAAAATCAGCAATATAGTAGAACAGCATGAAATAATTTTAAAATCACATTTAAATCTATTATACCAAATCTATTAGGCAAGATAGACATCAGAAGTAGGAGAAGAAAAGGAACAGGACAGGAGCCCCCCGCCCCAGTGTATTGAAGGAGATATTGAAACTCATAGCCTAATTTTGGGCAAAGTGCTGGAATCCTTATGGAAGAAGAGGGAGATACAAAGACCTGGAGGGGACAGGAACTCCACAAGAACAACAGAGCCAAAATACCTGGGACCAGGAGGGTGGGGCTGCAGAGATTGATATTCCAACTAAGGACCATGCTTGGAAGGATCTAGACCACCTGTTCAACGGAAGCACATAAGCTACTCAGTTTCCAAGTGGGTTTCCTAGTAAGGTGTACAGGGGCTCTCTCTGACATGAACTTAGTGGCCAGCACTTTGATCATATCCTCCTAGGAGATGCAGCCTTGCCAGACAAGCCACAGAAGACGATGATGCAGCCAGCCTTGATAAGACCTGAAAAGCTATGGTCAGATAGAAGGGGAGGAGGTCCTCCTCTGTTAGGGGACTAGGGAAAGAGCATAGGGGGAGATGAGTGAGGGTGGGTGGAACTGGGAGGAGACAAGGGAGGGGCTGTAGCTAGAATACAAAGTTACCGGGAGAATGTCTTTTTTTGTTTCTTTGTTTACTGTTGTTTTATTTTTTTAATTTTTTAAAATTTAATTTATATACTTATTTATAGGTATAGGGTAAACTGTGCTTGCTCTCATAAAGAAGACAAACAATGGAAGTAACCTTAGTGTGCTTAGTTTATAGACCTGCATCACAGAGGTAGTTGTACACAGCTAAACATAGAGGCAGTTTATGGTATAAAGATCAACAAGGAGCCAGTTTTAATTAACCTGAAAGGTAGGTCTCTATAGGGAAACAATCTCAGGCTGCAATTACCTTGGGAGGAGGAAGCTGTGTGTGAGCATTTGTACATAAACTGTCAACTTGCAAACTTCTACCAGTATAAATCTTTGCCATCTTTTAGAGCCTCAATTTTGGAAGGATTTTTAAATCTCATGAGTCTGAGGTTTTGGGTGCCTTGACATGTTCCTGCCCATGAGAAACAAAACAAATTCAATCAGGACTTCACCATTTCTCCAAAATTTTTTAAATTTACTTTTTGTTGGATTTGCTGTGTGTGAGCAATAGATTTGTATGTTCCTATGCATGCATAGTGTTGTATATTGTGCAGGTTTGTGCACAAGTGTGAACATGTTTTCTGAGATTATAATCTCTATCAGCTGTCTTCCTATATTGTTGTTAATATTAATTTTGTTAGATTCAATTTCTGACTGAAATTAAGTTAATTATTTTGGGTATACCAGCAGTTCATTAAACTCCAAAGAAATTCTGGAATTACTACAAATGCTAGAATGCATAGATCTATCCTTAACGTTATTCTCCTCATAGCCACTTTTTGTTTTTCTTCCATTTCATTCATATGCCAATTGAGCCATGCATTTATGTCCTTGTCAGCTGACAAGGACAAGTTTTGTGATCAAAATCATCTTAGATAAATATTTGTGAAATATTATTTTATGTGTATATTTACCCAATTATTTGTATTAGTTTTAAAAATATGTTATTCATTAATCAGTGAATTCATCTTGAATGACCTGGAAGAGTAACTGAAGAACATGTGCCTGGAAGGTGATCATATCCTGCTGATGCTTAAGGTCAGATCTCATCCTCTGAATGATCCACATCTGCCTTACTGGAAAGAAAGACTGTGAGTAATTGCCATGTGAATTTGAAAGCAAAGCAACATGGTAAATATCCATGTGTAATCATGATGTAATTCAGAAGATAGTATGTCTTAGTGGATATCATGTATAAAAAAATCTATAAAATTGATGACACTAGTGGAAAATTGTTGAAATTAGCAAACATTGTGATTTCTCTAGTAGTTTTGGTAGATTGTCCAGCACAATTTGCACAAATTTTCAGTGGATATTAATCAAAATTATCTAGAGTAACAGAATTTGTAAATGTGTGTCATAATGATATACACCTCTACTATCTTTTCCAAATTATCATTTTTTCACATTTAGATGGATAGAAATTTTGTTCTACTTTTGTTAAGAGCATCAGACTTTCATAAATCTTTATCAGTAGCTCACTCCAATGAATCTTGAAGACATAATCCAAATTATTCCCTTAAACATCAGTTCAACCTTTCTTTCTTTTCTTTTTTTTCTTTCTTTCTTTCTTTCTTTCTTTCTTTCTTTCTTTCTTTCTTTCTTTCTTTCTTTCTTTCTTTCTTTTTTTCTTTCTTTCTTTCCCACTCCAATTATTGCTTATTGCTCCTAATATGCACGTGAGTCTTAGGTCATTCACTGGGACATTGATATTATACAAAAGTTGTCCCTCTAAAATGTGAAGCTCTTTCGTCTACATGTATCAACTATAAATACTCCTCACTATGTAAGAGGAACTCCACATACCCTCCCCTTCCTTGGTAGAATTTGCCACTCAATTGTTAGTGAAGGTCTTATGAACTATTTTTGGTGAGTGTACTGTATGTTAGTCAAGCCTAATACTTACCTCTTCTCCCCATTTTTTGTGCTCTTACATCCTCCCAGTATTTCTGTTCTCATTTTCATTCACAATATTATACTAATTGTTATAGATATTCCAGCAATAGCAGAGTAAAGGAGACTTTAAGAGACATAGATATACTGGTAAAGCAGAAGTAAGCTTACTGACATAGAGGATTCTTCATCCTAAGAGACATTCCTGGGAGAAATGAAGACCAGGGGCTTATGTTTAAACAGAGCAATAATGTAAATGGGAGGACCAAGGGGCCTTTAGAAACATCCAATCCAAAGATCACTTTGCAGAATCTTAGATTTGGGCCATCCACCTCTAACTAATATTATAAAAGCCTCTTTATTTGTCTTTCTGCAAGGGTCAGTCTTTTGTTATTTCCAGAAGATAATCCCTGGTTTTATCCAGATGAACAAACGCCATCATTATCTTTCTTTAGGATTCTAATCCAGCATGTTAGAAGACCTCTACTCAAGCTAATATACCTGAATGGCAAATGTGGGAAAATACTTGGGTGGGACAACGACTGACCAGCATTCTTGAGGTTGCTTCTGAGTGAGGGGACCACGACCACTGTGACTAGTACAGTTGGAACTCTCATTCAGTTTTAAGTTCCTGCAGAAGTAAATAGAATAAAAGGATTGCACTTCCACGGAGTTGTAAGCTTTGATTTTGTATGTTTATTTGGAGATGTCTTCCCCAGATAAATCCAGGGAGAAGCCACGTACCTTGAAATGGAGAGCACAGAAACAGTACTCTTCCTGGGTTGAGTAACAAAAGGCACATTTCACCTTTGAAACAACTGGTAATTGTCCATGTGGACAGTTACCCTTCTGCTTAATTGCTTTTTATCCTGCACTCAGTTCCTGGCACATGTGCTGTGAATATATCACGGCTAGGCTATGTGCTGACAAAGGAAAGACAATCATTTGTTTCTTCAGCCTGAATAGTCTTGAAGTTTTTGATGTACTAAAAATATATCAGAACAAGTTTGCTTTGATTTCAAGGTAGACAGGTTGTGAAATTCAAGAGGACATGAAAATTGTTGGGCACTTTCATCCCTGAGGGGTTTTAAGTATTTATTGAGGAAACACAGAGATACTAGAAACTAGTTGTTTGATTCCTTACAGATCTGAGGAAAAAAGACATCATGCTACCCTAAAGCCTCATGATCACTGTCTGGATAGCCTAGTTGGGGACCTGTGTCTTTCCCATGGGTTTAGTATAAGAAGTGAACTATGACCTGTGAGGGAGGAAAACTGGTGCATCAAAAGCAGAGTATGTTTGGCTGGACTGTCTGAAAGATTACATTTGAGCCCTTTCTGATGCCCACCCTATACATGGGCCCTTCTTCACACCATTTTAAAAAAATCTATACATTAGAGAATATTTTTTTTCTTTTTTGCCCATGCTGCTTGCACAGTTTTCTGGCCCATCAGGCACTGAGCATTTACACTTTTGTTTTCATTTTTCAGTTGCTATGATATAAGTTGAGAATTCCAGTATTAGTAGAATTCAGGTAAATGAGGTAAATTATTGAACCATTGTTTATTTGTTTACAGATTATTAATGTGAGAATAAAGGGCCAAGATGACACATATTCCCTAGCTCCTGGTTCTCTCTCTCTCTTTCTTTCTTTCTCTCATACACACATACACACAAACACACACACAGTGTATCTTACATAGGCAAGTAAAGTTTAGGAACTCTTATATGTCATTGTACTTGGATAAAGGAAGCATTTCAGAAGATGTCCTATAAGCAACAGGTAGGTTCATCAGTTGTAGATACAACCACTCAGTCCTGCAGTGACAGGAGAACCAGAGCAGATTTAAAAATGGGTATTTGAAGTCAGACTGTACTTTTCTGAGAGCTCAGGCAGATTATCCTCCTAATTTCTTGATACTCCTCATTAAAAGTGATGTGTAGTATTTAGTTTCATTTATCTGCTTTCCTCACCTACTTTTCCACCTTGGGCACTGTCCCACCTTACCTCTATTCTTGCGATTCAAATTAAAACATTAAAATACATAGTAACAGGACAACCCTCAACATAGTATTTCCAAACTATAAGGATGGCAGGAACCTGTGATCTTGCAGGTGTCAATGCATCAGCTGAAAATTTCCTATGCCAAGTAAACCATTGTGATCACTTTTATACAGGACCAAGTAACTTTCATATATACAATAAATAGTCATCTGCTGTTTGAATTCACATGGAAGCTGCATTGAGAAATGGGATATATTCTTCATATTTTCCTTTTATACTTTTAATAATAATTACTATTATTTATTCACTTTGTATCCCAGTTGTAGCTCCCTCCCTCATCTCCTCTGGGTCCCGTCCCCTCCTTCTCCCTCACCTATTCTTTTTCCCTAATTCATTAATAGGAAAAGTCCTTCTTCCCTACTGTCTAACCCTAGCCTAACAGGACCCATAAGGACTGTCTGGATGTATGGGCTGGCTAGGTTGCCCCACCAGGGAGAAGTGATCAAAGAGCAGGAAACCTAGTTCATGTCAGAGACTGTCTCTTCTCCCCTTACTAGGGAACCCACATGGAGACTGATCTGTCTGTGGCCTACATCTGAGCAAGGGGTCTATGTCCTCTCTCTCTCTCTCTCTCTCTCTCTCTCTCTCTCTATATATATATATATATATATATATATATATATATATATATATATATAGTCTTTGGGTAATGTATCATGATGCATCAGTCTCTGCTATCCTCCCACTGGCCCTACTATTTTGGCTTTGTTGGTCTCCTTGTGTGGCTCCTGTCCCCTCCTGGTCCTTTTCCATTATGACCGCTTTTTTCAAAATGTCCTCAGAAGACCACCTTATCTCACGTTGTTCCCATACTCTGTGACAGGAAATAAGGATACAATACAACATTCAAAGAGCAAATGCCCTGTGACTGTGACTACAATTGTTTCCATGATAAAAAGAAAAGAAGATAAAGGAGAAAAATTAATGCCACATATTTCTCTGTCTACTACTAGCAAATACTCAAAACTAAAATTACAGTTGGTCTGGAGAGATGGCTCAGTGATTAAGAGCACTGGTTGCTCTTCCAGAAGACCCAGATTAAATTCCCAGCACCCAAATAGCATCTTATACCTTTCTGTAACTATAATTCCAGGGTACACAATATCTTCAAACAAACAGGAAAGCAGACAAAACTTTAAGGCACAAAAACCATGTATGGTTTACCAGGAAGTTTAAGAAGATACATAAAGTAACACAAATAATTTTACTATGCATTTATTTTATTTTAAATGTAAGTAAAACATCTCCACCACTTCAATCCCAACTTTGGTCCCCTCCAATTGATTCTGTGCTCATGCCACACATTGCCAAACTCATGATACTTACTTTTTAATGTGTGTGTGTGTGTGTGTGTGTGTGTGTGTGTTTATGTAAGAGAGAGATACTAATATAACCCATTAGTCACCTTAGAATTGTTCATAAGCATATATGTTTTAGGGTTGTCCATTTGAGTTTGGTCACATGCCTCAGCTGTCATGAAGCACATCCATACAGATTGATGATTTTGCTGCTCTTTGCAGTCAATTATTATCTGCAGTTTTTCATCTATGTGTGGAACATTTTGAGATTTGCCCCTATCTTCTAATGGTGCTATCATTGTGCAGATCTTGTACATGTAATATGTTATGTCGTGATTGCCCAAAATCTATGCCAAATATAAAAGGACCTATCTTGTCATATACATATTTGGTCATATTTTTCTTAAAACTTTCTTCGACCTTTCCAACATTCTCTGAGCTGTGGTGTAAGAGTTATGTTGATGATGTGTCAGACGGAAATTGTTACCAGTAAGTTTATTTGGCTGCATCTACTGAATAAAAAAGCTTCATTGAATAGATGTACACTTACTATGCATAGAATTTTACGAGTGTAGTTGGGAAATATACTGCATTAGGAACACACACTGGTCAGTTCTAATCTCTCTAATCCACAACCACTCCAGCCATAGTTATCTGGCTAGATTTCCAGTGCCAGACATGAATTAACATCTACTATGTTGGCCTTATATTGAATTAGAAGTACTTTGTCACAGCCACAATATAAGTGTCATTACTGCATCATTAAGGATATCTTGAAATGGTTGTCATTGTGGTTAACAGGCTTTACGTCTGGCTAGCAATGCTATTGCTTCT